AAATAAGAAATTTTACTAATCAATAAATAACTAACAAAGAAATTTCGTTATTCAAGCATAATCGGAGAAAGTTTCTTTTATAACTTCGCGTATGTTAGAATTAAAAATATAATGACAAGCGCCATTACACATATGACCTATCCTCTATTCATTTTCTCCTCGCCAAACATATGTTATTGACACGACAGAACGAAAAAAAAATTCTTTCGTTCTGCTTGTCTTCAATTGAAGACAAGCGGGATTCAACAGGTTAATCATAGAAATAATGTTTACATAAATTGTGATGATCGTTAATAAGAAAATGAAGCTAATCGAGAACGGTTGCATGTAAAGTGATTTTAGAAGACAGCGTTTTGAAATTCATAATGCAAGGCTAACGGAAAGCAGAAGTAAAATATATTGAATAACATTTTCAAGATACTTTATTTGATTTGTGGATAATACTAATGAAAATTGTAACTGATGAACACATAAATTTCCTTTTTTATGAAGTCAATTGAATTTGTCTAAAACGTAAAAAGTGTAAAAACTTATTTGTCTCTGCTTGATTGACCTTAATAAGGCAATGATTTTTCCCCATGGTCAACTCCTCTTCTGAAAATTCACTTGAGAAATTCTTCGAAAGTCTAAGTCAAACCTGATATTTTCCTTAATCGTTGGTTGCATGAAATATGAACAGTTTCTGTCGTAGCAAACATCTTAACTTTTATCAATGGCTATCGATAACATTTAGTTACACAGATAAACAGAATTTTTTAATATAATTACCACTGTATCACATATCAAACGCAAATTTTATCAAATTTGAAATTGACTTATATCTCAATCAACTGGATATACAAATAAATTGAAAGGCGTTGATCATAATGTTTTTTTCGATCAATAGTGTGTAAAAAAATACTTTCTTCGATGGACAAATTAATGAAGAAGAATGAAACCAACGGGTCTTGTTGCTCTGAACCCATGACCGGTGTGCCAAGACGAAAAGAAAACCTTGATTTAAATTCGTGACACGAATGTTAATGACTGGAGAAAATCTATGTATAGTAACGTTGACAAACAACTGATACTATGATCTTTGCACATAACATAGATTGAGTTGAATCGGTCGACGACAATTTTTTTTTCAGGAATTTATTGATATTGTCATACGATTAGCTTTTGCTTTTTTAACTTTTTTCTGATGACTGATAACGACCGACTTATTCTTTGAAGAAAATTAATGTCTCTTGTTAGGAACCATTCAGATAGATTAAATAGAATTCATTTTATCCAATTTGCTTAAAATACTTGTTTAAGAAAAAGCCGTGATCGAATTAAGTTGAGAACGTGTTACCATAACATGCGCAATGATTTTTATACTTGAAAATATTTTCGAGTAAAAGAATAACTGTTTTTGATCAGGAAATATCCTACATGAGGGATAAAATCAAATTAAATCCATAGGAAATCAAAATGTACATGCAGAATAGTAACTTGAGATACAGTAGATGATCAATAGAACAACCAACAACAGATTGCAGTCAGTCATGGATATTTCGAATCGCGTAAGAATGATCGAAGTAAACGAGTTTCAAACTCTATTCTTCGTTAAATGAATGTATCTGAGAAAAAGAAATTAGATAAAATATTGTTACGCAGGAATGACTTTTGGGTATTTCTTTTATATGTGTTGTGAAACAACTTGATTTGCAATCAATGCTGCTCATTCAAATGTTGAAGGAGTTAAGTAAATAAAAGAATTTAACGACAAAATCAAAGCAATTTTCGATATGAGCACTTTTTTCTTTCCAAAAGTTTTGTAATAGTTGTTCAAAAAAGTACTAACATCTGTAATATTGTCTTGACTCTCTTCAATTGTAAGAATAATTAATGAAACAAAGCGAAATATTTTCAAAATCTGAACACTCACTAGTGTTCTGTTCTAGTCTAGTAGCTACAATAATGAAAAGTTTAGCAAATAGCATACTGATTGCAGTCGTTCACGTAGGATTTTATTTCATTGATTTAATTATTTAATCAAGCAAACAATAATTGTATTTTTTAAAATCCTAATTTTTTTTTTGAACTTGTTTACCGATCTATTTAATTCAATCTCACTTTAACATTGAACTTGCACTGACGACTCTCGCCCGTTACAAGTTGGACTGGATAATTGAGTTGATTTCCTTGAACATTAACAGACTTGCATGTTGTATCAAGAAGAGTTATTTGAACACCTCCTTGAAAAACAAGTTGAGTGTCGACATTTTTGTTCTTAAAATTCTTAACATGAACATCAATTTCATAAGTCTCCAATGACACTGGTGCATTATCATCAGTCTTTGATGTCATATTGCCTTTTATCATATAGCGAACATCGTTATCTTGACCAACGCTAAATGTTTCCGTATAATTTTCAGGAACATCTGGCAAATTCGCTTGACCAACAAGTACTTGATTATCACGAACAGTAATAACGCCACCTGGCATGAAATGATCAGGTGTTATATCGTAATTTCTTTCAAAGACACCTTGATATACTCCTGTATTGATGCTTGTCAATGCTTTGTAATAGAATCGATATTTGGCAACAATATCAATGAATGGTAAACGAATGGAACTCGATGGACGAAGTGTATATTTGTCATTCAACGAATACGAATACATACCACTTCGTTCACCATCCATATGAATTGGTCTCAAGTTCATAGGTGTCACTATAGCCTCAAATATAGGCTTAACACCAGAATTATCAGCAGCTAATTGCACATCACCACCTAAGAGATGAGTTTTCTCCACTGTATATTCTTGTTGTTGATCATTTCTAATGTTTGCATAGGTACGAAGTTTGTAATCTAAAATAGAATGACATATTCAATAGAAGAAAATTTAATTTGACAACAAAAAAATCTACGTACCATTGTTGTCTGTCAACATAAGATCATAACTAGGCTTCCATGTGATTCCTTTCATTAAGTATGACAATGTTCCCTTACGTTCTGTTGTTTCAGTTTGAAATTGAAGAACCAATGTCGTTTCACTCTCACTCGGTCGTACCGATGTATATTCGATCGAATCTTTATCAGCATAAAAATATGCTCCTGTGTTCAAATTTTGAAGTAACATCGAATTGGGATCAACAATTTTTGCTTGAATCGTTTCACAAGCGCACACTGTCGATCGTCGTACTGTTACTAGAGCATCTTGGAGTGATTGCATTGTATTGTAGACTTCTTGTCGAACTAATGGTGTACCTTCCCAACTGATTGATCCATCAACTACATTTCCATAATCAGCATTTTTAAATCGACTCGTGTATTGACCGATTCCATTGCAAACTTGGCGAATTTCAGTAAAACTTTTGTAGATAGACAATTCAACAGCAAACAATGATTGAATGAGACAGAATAGAGAAAAACAAAATAACAACATGTTGTTGATATCACTAGAAAAATAAAAGTATCAATTTAGATACATATATATATATACTCTTTAAGAGTGTAAAGATTTTAGACTCCGATGGAAGATTAGAGTTTTCTCTGGCCTTTATGCAGAAATTTCTACAGAATCATAAAAACTTCCGCATCAAATCAAAGTAAAGCTTTGATTTTCTATCAGTACTTAGGATCAGAAAAGGTTCTATTCAACAGCTATACTTTGAGAGAAAGCACATATATATATATATATAAGAGTCATCATAAAATATCAGATATTGCCATATGGTGGACTCTCCCACAAATCCAGTGCCAATAAAAAAGTATACGAGGAGGTATCAAGGCCAAGATATTAGTTGAAAAAAACAATTTCATTCGTTTTGCGATCTATGACCTGTGAAATGCTTCGACTTCGGCCTCCTGTCTGTGATTGAAAAATAGATTACCAATCTCTATCAGCATGTGCACACATATACTTATGAGATATATGCAAAAAGTGAGAGAGACGAATAAGTACTACAATATAAAAAGCTGTTAGCGCAATCCCTTGCGGAATTGAAAATGTGAAACATGATGGATCTGTTGTTACTAATTAAATCGAAATCGTTTTGTTCCATTTCTTTGCGATACATTTGTAGTTAACCGTTTATTTGATGCTTTAGAACTACAGTTTCTCTGTCACGATCTGTGATGGGTATAGAGTTTCTCTGTCACGGTCTGTGACGGTCTCTGGAGCTCCTCTGTCACAGTCTGTGATGGTCTCTAGAGCTCCTCTGTGAGTGTGGGTGTGGGGTGTGGGCTTGCGTACGGGTGTGAACGAAGAGAAGACCCGTACCAACATCCACGAGCAGACAATCTTTCGTCACTATTCACTTGCCGTGGTTGTCACCAGATGAGTTTCCTTTATCTACAGAAACTATTTGCTCATTGATTCCGCGTCAAGTGAAATATTTGCAAGTTCCAGTGAGGCACTTGAATGAGATAAAAGCAATTCTGAAAAACTACGACCACTTGTCAAGCATTTAATTAAATATAACACATTCAAGGTATTCTGACAAGATCATACGGTAACCCGTAGAAAATACAATTAATTCAATGTACCGAAGAGACTACAGAGTTCTCAGCATATGGTTGGGAAGAAAAACTGATACGGGTGGGGTGTGGGTGTGGGAGTGGATGTAGATGAAGAGATGATTAACACCTCACCCGCATCCATTTTCGCCGAAAATCAAGTTCACCAATTCCATTATCGCCAAATAAATTTTACCACCAAAAACGGATATAAGTTGCATTTAATCGATCTTATAGACAACAACTATATTTTGGAGAATTAGTGTGTGTGGGTGTGTATTTGAGTGTCAAACTAAAGATCAAAAACACTTACACCCATACACTTTTCAGCTGAACTCTATTTATGATAGAAGGACAATGCGATACAAAAAAAAGAAGAGATCGAGAGCAATTGATAGAGTTTACATTTCGTAACTTCAGAGAGACACACAATGTTTGAAGGATAGGTTTTTCGAAAAACGTTTCTTGTTAGAGTAAACCAACATGTGAGCAAAGTTTTCACATGCTCGTTGACTATGTTTGTAAATATTTAGTGAACCACTCATTTGCTGCCTTGGCCGTGATTTCAAATGGTTGTCCTTTGTAGGCTGAAAAATGATCACCATTGAATTTAACTAGTTTCTTTGGTTCATGGGCTTTTTTCTCGAACAGCTCGATTTCATCTTCCGTAAACGTTACTGTATCATTGTCAGCAACAATTATTAATAATGGGCATGGCGAAACTTGTTCAATATATTCTTCTGGATTATATTCACCGTACATTTCTACACTATGTAATGTTTGCTCGTTTTTCCAATTTTTATAACGCCATTTGTCTTCATCCAAGGCTTGATTTACATCAAAAAATTCCCACCAATCTGGCTGTACTGCAGGTCGAACTATTGGTATGATTCTCGGAGTGCCTCCTTCTGCTATTTGCTTTCTTTCACGCTCGAAAGCGCTCAATAATTTCTGATATTCCTCATCATTCTTTTGTTTTCGGCGTAAATTCTGTTTTCCATTGATAGATGGCATTTGGGAAACAACACATTTGACACGTTTGTCGATTGCACTGACAACTAACACGTGACCACCACTGTAACTTGTACCCCAAATACCAATACGTTCAGGATTGACCAAGTTTGTCAACGATTGTAAATATGTTATAGCCGAGCTGTAATCTTGAACTTGTTTTTTTGGATCGATTTCTTGTCTTGGTTCACCCGCACTGTCGCCAAAATTCTGATTATCATAAAGAAGTACTACAAAATTTGATTTCGTAAAATATTCTGCATATAAATCCACAAAGAGTTCTTTTACACCTCCATAATAAGGTGACATCACAATTCCTGGATAAAGTTTTTGATTTCCAACTTCTCGAATGGGTTCAAACAGCCAACCACGCAACAAGACACCATTTTCAGTAGGAAATTCAACATCATGACGTGTAAACGAAGCACTCATTCCTCTTAAATTTTTAAAACAAAAAATAGTGCACATATAGATAAGAGTGCTTATATATCGAAATTGGATAACTTTTTGTACAACTGCCACTGTTCTCTTATTCATTAAGAAAATATAAAACCCGGCGAGTGTCCACACTTCTGTATTCAATGCAGTTTTGCAGACCTTCGATTATGGCTACCTATAAAGGGAAATGATTTTAACAAATCAAATTTTGATCTAGCTGCTTTTTAACCTTCGATATTTAAATTTTTGATTTTGTGGTTATTACAATTCTAGTATTGTCTGAAGCAGAGGTGTGCGGGGCATCGACTTTTGATGCCCCGCTCGGCCTGTCCCTCGCCTAGAGCCCTTCACCAGGTCCAACATAAATTGCCGGACTCAGTCAAAGAAATGCGAGTCGTTCTGTCATTTTTCATGCTAATACATTACTCAACTGTTCATCTTCTAAAGAAATCTTTTCTCTTTCACCTCATATATTTAGAAAAGCACTGCAATGCATTATAGTCAAAATAATTTTATAAAAAAAGTCCGGGTCCACATTTGGACCCGAAAAATATGAACCCAAACTTTTTTTACAAACTTATTTTGACTATAATGCATGGTAGTGCTTTTCTAAATACATGAGGTGAAAGAGAAAAGATTTCTCTAGGAGATGGACGGTTGAGTAATGTATTAGGATGAAAAATGACAGAACGGCTTGTCTTTTTTTTTGACCGAGTCTGAAAATTTTCTTTTGGATCCAGTGAAGGGATCTACCCCCGTCACTCACGAACACGTCTCGCCCATCCTCGTGCATGATTTTTCTCAGTATCCTCCATCCCCGCCGGATCCAGTTCATCGCCTAGACCGTCCCACCCAACCCGTCAATTTTTCGGCGGGCCTCGTCCCGCTCCTGGGAAATCCGAGAAAAGCTTCTATTCATCATTTAGTTTGTTTTCAGTGATTTATTCTATATAATTGATTAACATAATACAAAAAAATCTGAGACAAAGTTTATACGTAACTCTTTGACTGAGTCGACGAATGAGAGGCACCTAATTACACTATAGTAACAAACAATTCATCAAATGATAAATCATGTAATTCGATCATTTTTATTGATAAAAAAGAGGACAAATTCCAAAATTTAATTCTACAAATCAAGTTTAGTTTTTTTGCTTGTTAAGACAAATCAATGATTGAAGTTCAATATGAGAAACGGTAAGGCTCCAACGGACTATAAAAATGAAACAATATCATCTTCTTTTTATTTTTGTATACCGACACATTCAATCATCAATCCACTAATCAAGATTGAGAATATTCTCTATAATGTAGTTAAAATGAATAAATACGGTGTTGTACTTTCGAGCAGTAAAAAATTTTTATTATTGTTTACTTGCTCGGAGACGCTTTAGACACTCGTAATCTGTGAACGATTTAACAAATCTAGTGTATTGTTTTATAATAATTAACTCTGGAGTGGCACCGCCACCCTTCCTGTCTTTATATATATATTTAATTGTTAAATCAACTTATTGTATCATTGACGCATCAAAAATTAAGTCATTCATAAAGATAACTTAAGTCTATTTTAAATTCTACGCCAATCACGTTTCTTAATTCACATTTAATTTATCTAGTCTGTTTGGAACATAAGAAAGGAAGGAATAAAGAACAAGGAAGCTTGTAGCTAATAGGTTAGAAATAATGAATCAATCAATATATGCACCTTACTGCGTATGTAGAATAACGACATCTACCGATAATTTTTGACGATTCTTCATCGTGCCCCGAAAAAGTCCTCTGTCCGCCTGAAGTCTGTATCTTTTTATTTAGAGTCTCATCCGCTCGAACCGCCCCAGCGTCGAACAATACCCGTACCCCGCCGATCCCGAATAGCTACAAAAATTGGTTCTCCGTCTGCTCATCCCCACGTGGCTCCACGGGTTAAAACTCATGGACTGCACATCTCTGATCTGAAGTGTTCTCTCTGTATTGAGTAAATTCGAAGGTGCAAACATGCTTTTCACTGCTAAAAATGACCGGATATACAAAGCAAAAACGGAAAACTCCATTTATGATTAGTTTTTGTCGGAGCAAACTTATTGTCAAAAATTCTTGTGTATTCTCCTTTGTTTTCATCAAGTTACAGCTGATCGAGTTGAAAATTTTTCTAAAGCTAATTTATATCAACTGTCCTATTCGAAGGATGCCAGAGTTTTTGAAAACAATATATAGAGACAAATCATTTTGGCCTTCGTTGTCATAGAAACTGTTTTAGTCCTAGCGAAGAAAACTCGAAGAATAACGTGTGAGACAGGAAACTATTTTCAGTATCTATGGCTCTGACATCTCCTGAAAAAGGATAGTTTGAAATTTTGGGTCTACCACCACTTTGGTCCACTATTCAAGATGTATCTGCCCAAACAACAAACAGACTTGTAGGATAGACGATGGTATGTTACACTTATAATATTGTCAGTAATTTATCAACAATACTATGTGTGACATCCCAGTTAACATCTATGCAATAATTTTGATAAACTGTTTGTAGTTGGTGGTAAAAAGACTGCTGCTGACATTTTCCAGCGATTAATATGAATAAAAATTAGATGATGGTAAGGTGTATATTCGACATATATAATAACTAACTCAGGTGAAACTGTTCCAGACAAGCAAAAGTAAGAAAAAATTCTAATAGCCTACTTTTGGTGACCAAAGAAGAAAGTAAAGAGATGGTCTAACAAGAACACAAAAAATACACTGACACACACAGTAGAGTGTGAGCTATGATAAGAATATAAGACTGATAAGGAGCTTCAGTGATGAATAAATAAAATAATTATACAACATGGTTATTATTATCTGAAGACAGATAGCGAAAACGAGAAGAGTCGAAATGATAGAATAAACGAATTACAAGTATCTTTCTTAACATCTTGATCGGTAGTGTTTGCTTTTACAGTTACATCATTATCATCCCATTCTCAAATTAGAAAAAATCGTCATCACTGATCAATATGCTCTGTTGAACTAGTTGAGATCAAAGATGGTCTTGTGTTGAGATAGAGTCTGTGTAGATTTTTGACGACAAACATTGGTACCGGACTGAGTAGATCAGATCGAATCAGATCGGCTGACTTACTAGTGAACGTTCGGTCTATCGGTATTTGATCAATCTAATAATATCGTTCGATCTGAAACCCATGCCGATATCCGAGCAATGGATTGTCGTACTATGTCATTTGTGAATGGCGATATTTGATATAGTCAACTTTCAATACACATCCTCCAAGATATTAGAAGAGCAAAAAATAAAGCAGACACATCGATCACTATGAGAGTCCTACTGGTATCAGTTTGATCTCTGGTGTTGCGCTCTCTTGACTTCTTTTCTCATATAACCATGAATATCTTTTCTATCTGTTCTATACAATATACAAGATCAAAGAATTTTAAAAAATTATGTCAATCTACACCTAATCTGAATATATATGTCTAGCTATACAAATGATGAGACCAAGACGAAAAGTGTGACTTTCGAACCGTCGGTACCACAGCACTCTCTTTCAATAGATTATAGCTTATTTAGTACTCAGAACCGATGTGCTTATTCGATTTTTAACAATTCATGCTAAAAAGGTCAGTTTATCCACCTAAAAGATGACTTTAACAGTTCTTTAGTAGGAATCAATCTGGTGAGCAAGTCCAGATTAGGAATCTGTTCAATGATTCCATTATTATAACTTTCTGCGAACACCAGCCTACAAGAAGCATTGCATTGCCAAAGTCAATTATATCTTGACTTTTAAACAGCATACCAGCAAATAAATGATTTCAATCTTTTGCGATTGAAAGTATCAGTGTCATATACAGGGTGGTCCAAAAGTTACCAGACACCCCTTGAATTGATAATGAATCTTCGTCTGTGTAATCTGTTCATTTAAAATTCAGCATTGTTATCCAATAAATATTTATCAACAAGAATCGCTGCTCGGCACTGAATAAGTCTTTGTTTGTCATAAATGCTGGACTTTAAATGAACAGATTACAGAGACCAAGACTTATTATCAATTCAAGGGGAGCACGGTAACTTTTGGACCACCCTATATATTACACATGCACGCATATGAATATATTAGCAACACATAAATAGTATAAGTTCAAATTTCATCAGGATGGAGTGGGTGTGAGTGAGAGTGTGGGTGTTCTTTCAATACACAAACAAGCTATCCACATACCTACAGCCGCACTGCACCCACACCCAAACTCAAACCGTTTCAGCTCGATGGAGTTCGAACTCGCAGTTAGAGCTCGATCAAAACAAAACTCGAATCGGATCAAATTCAAACTTCAAAGCTCGATTTCGATTGAACTCAATCTTGTAAAGCTTGGTATCGAAGCCCAAAGTTGAGTTAGGATTTGATACATGTCTTTTCACACCCACACCCTTCATGTACTGTGAAGGATCATTGTTTTAGGTAGTGTTTATGTCAGGTTCATTATTCAAACATGTCATTTTGCATCTAAAATCATCCTAGTCATTAGATGTAAATATGATTATTGCTTGTCATTCTTCTGGCATGTTTTCAATAAAACTGAACTTTTTGTATTAAAAATATTAAGTAAAAAAAACATAAGCAAAACATTTAATGGACAACTAAGTGCCGTTTGTGTTTTGAAACAACATCATCTATGCACAAATTGGAGAAAAAAGTAATGATGTATGCCTTTTATTCGAAAGAAATAAACAAAAAAACTAAATTCACGAATTATTTAGTGTAATGTTTATCAATCAAGTTCTTTTTAATACCGTAAAAATTTTTGTACTCTATGATTACTTGAATCTATGACATATAAATTCAGTTGACTATCAAGTTCTACCGAAAATGGCATATTTAACAAAATAGAATTATTACCACTGATACCTGCAGCTCCAGCAATTGTTATTCCTTCTGTCTGCCCATTCAAGAATAATTGTATTCGATAATTAAGTCTATCCGCAACATACATGTTACCCATAGGATCCAAAGACACATCTATTGGATAAGTCAGTGTTGTTGCATTACTTCCTGAATTTCCATTGATATCACCAGCGAGTAGTATCCAACTAGTGGCACCTAACGGCCAACGAACAATATTATGAGCCAAGTGATTGGCAATGATAAGACTGTTTGAGAATGAATCAAAATACACACGAATAGGCCCTGCTAGTTGTGTGATGTTTGTTCCGCGTCCATTTCCGCCAGCAACTACAACACCTGTTGATGCTCCTGATGCATAGCACATAATTCTATCATTGTTATAGTCTGCTATGTAAAGTTTATCGGAAGTTGAATCATATGCAATACCATAAGGATATCTAAATTGATTGTTAAAATTACCTAAACCCCCTAAAATGAACTTTCTCATGAGATTTTCTAGTATATATATATATATATATAATGTTCTCAAAACAACTTGGAGAAATTATTAAAAAAATTATTCACGCTTTGCAATAGATGATGCGGTGAAGTCGATGTGACGAGGACTGACGAATTTACAACTTTTTTTTATTGAAAAACAGTTGCTCAGAACAGTTTATAATTTTACATCTTTTATCTCGTCTCAACTATCCGATAGATGTAGAATGAATAATTCCAAATAAAATATTATAAAATGTTCTATAGTATGTAGTTCACGCTAATGATGTAAAATTCTAATAATCAAATTACTCTTGAAGATAATCGATCGATAAGGTGTCTTCGAATGCTGCGGCTTGATACAAGAAGATGCAATGAATATAGTCTCAAATAATCATACTTAATTTTCAATATGTTCTTTTTATCGTTAATTTAATTCTAATTGTAACTGCGAGAAAACAAAATTTCATGTTAGAAAATAAAAAGAGAATTATATTACGACTAAGACAATCCTGAACTTCAATAGCATTGCTAACATCAAATTGCAGGCACATGAGTTTTACATAGTTACTTAGTTGGTGGATAAACATTTATCACTCTATGATTCTTACTTACCACTACTTGCAATGGTGATTCCCGATGATGAACCATTAGAAAATAATTGAATTCGTTGATGGAAAGTATCTTCTACACGAATATTTCCATTTGAGTCAACCAGTACATATGAAGGACTCGACAACTGATTTGAAGATGAACCAGTTGTTCCATTTCCACAAACAGTTGTACCGTTTGAAGTACCTATCAAGTATTTCTGAATTCGATTATTGTTGGCATCTGCAATGTATAGTGTATTGAGATAGTCCAATGTTGCATCATAAGGTGTATTGAGTTTATCACTGCCATTTCCTGGTACTCCACTAATATCTGCTATAGTAAAGCCTGTTTGATTCCAACGGAGTAAAGCTGTTGGAACTAAAAAAATATTTAAAAATAAGCTCAACATTTTGTGTCGTCGAAGTGAAAAATAAGTTGTTTGCAAGGATAATAGACATAAATGAGAAAAGAAAAAAAATATATTTCATCTTACGTGTCGTTGTTTTTAACTTCATTACTAGAACAAGTGCAATTATAGTAATGACAATTACAAGCACTAAAGCAGTCAAAATCGATTATCACTACACATCGGCGTGAACATCTATAATGTGCAGTATTAAGAGACACGAACGAATAATTGACAAAAGAAAAACCTACATTTTCTTTTTATTATTTTTCTGATTTCGATGATGATCGTTAATATTTCCGAATTGATCTGATGATACATTCTCCATCTATTATTATTTAAAAAGTTATTTTATGACAAAGAGAAATGAGAAAAATAAATAAATGATTAACTTTAACTCTTATTGTCTGAGAACGACTCAGCATATCATCAGGTCTTGCTGACAAATCAATATGTTGTTGAACACTTTTTGTTGAGTCATTAACTTTGATAAAATGTCTATTTGACTATTATATAAAAAACAATAGAAGAAGTGATTTTAATCATTTCATTATCAGACAGTAAGATTTTCTATATTTCTCTCTTAGTATTTCTTACTTAGATTTCTTATGACTTGTCAAAAAACAATCATAATGTTCGTGAAATTTTGCTATACTTACAGAATCTAGAGTATTTGGTAAACGTTGCCAAGATGTTCGATTATTTCTTACCTTTAGGACATCATCTCGATGATGGTATGTTTTGTCACTAGTAGCAGAAATCTGAGATTTAAGAAAGACCAACAAAAGAAAAATATAGCATAAAATAATACAAAAATAAAAAAATATATATCGAACCCAACGTAAAGTTTCGTGTTGATTGGAAGATTTATCACTTGTTGGGCGTGTACGAACATGAATAACGGTATTCTATGGTGTTTTTGTTTTCGATTGATTCTGATGCTAAATTGAATCATTTTAAAACGTATTTGAAAAAGAAACATGAATATCTACATGATGATGGAGTAATCGTTGATGGCGAAGATGTGATACTTTTATAACATGTATCTCAGTTGGCGATGTATGACCTAAGACATTTATTGTTCTTTTAGAAGAAAACATGGTTTTAAATAATGTCTACCTATAATCATGTTATCCATTTTTATTTTGAAGATGGACAAGACGTTGTTATGTTTTGTTTCTCTCAGTGACCAAGCATATATGAATTGCTTCACCGATGTGATGTTAAATTAAAATATAAGAATGAAGAAATCCGAATATTTATATGTCATGTATAAGAAAGAAATAAGATGTGTTATATGAAGGCTTCATTTGTTTATATAGTATGTTTGAGAGTTTCACTAGTGAAATTATTAAGAAGAATAAAATGGCTTTTGCTTTTTTATTCAGACTCAATCAAAAAAGCTTGTTAGCGCAGTCACTTTGGAGCTTAAATGTGAAACTCACATGCGTTATTTATTATCATTATACTACTAATAAAATATACGTCATGTGTAAATTCTCTAGCAGATTATAGGTGTTTTCCAAGAAAATCGATCGTCACAAATCAGATCTGTCTTATTTATTTCTGCATTTCGAACAAAAATTTTTTCTTGTTTTGTTTACTGGTGTTCTTTTTCTTGTTTGTCTTGTTGCTACTCGTTCGTTTTTTTCTTTTTCAGTATTCACCTTCGTTTTACTCAACATTATTATTATTCTAATCATTGATTCAACTAGTAAATAAGTCTGTTGTACAGATCCATTATATGTACAGAAGGTCTCAATACATTTTTATGATCTCAATAAGCTCAGAAATACCAATGTTGATTTTTTTCCGAAGTTATAACTTGATCAATTCACGCTTTTTATGTTGATCATTTGTCAACTGTGATAAATCATTGCATCACTACCCATCGTCCTTGACATCTTGGCTCTAAAATTCTTTGTGCACAGAAAACAAAAGACTACATTATTTAAAACATTCACAAACACATTCCGACGATTCAAATTTCGAGGAAGATTTTGAAATGTGTAAGAATTCTCTAGAACAGTCAATGTTTTGTCGTTAATGCCGTTCAGCGCCTTCTACCATCACTACGAAACTCTGGAAAAGGAGTCTGCCGCATGTTGTCCCCAGCTACTATGGAAACATACTCAGTCAAGTTTACCCTGGTAGCAAAAGTCCGTAATGTGAAGAAGGCTGATGTGAACCCTCGATAGTTCGACTTAAAACTTATAGTCTCTGATTTCTTCGAGAATAGTGAGTGTAAGTTTAAATCGAGGTTGTTGCGGTATCTTCTTAGGCCCTAGCAATAAAAGTCAAAGGACACTGGGTATGTTTCCATATCACCCGAGGACAGCAGGTGTCAGACTACTTTTCCAGAGTTCCTCAGCGACGGAAAAAGGTGCTGAACGATATTAACGACATGACTAAGACTGCAGTAGAAAGAAATTGTGTTCTCGCCGATATAAATTTATACTCGAAGATTTGAGGATGATGGGCAATGATTAGAGATGTGATGGACCAATTTTAGTCCTCGACTCGATCACCGGTGCCAAGATAATGAGAAAGATATTCACCCAGAACCAGGATCACGGGAAAGAGAAGCGCTGAGACTGGAACCGGAGCTACAAGAATAAAGCTCTCTCAGTCAAAAATCAAGCTTATAGTAAAATATTCTATTGTTTGAAATAAATTATCTTGTAAATCATCTGAATAAGAACATAGTCAAAGCGAGATGACACCCAAAAAAGTGCTAGTCGTCGACTAAATAAATAAAAAAAAAAAACGAGAACCGAAGAATTATTTTAGAGGTAATGCGAATAAATTTTGGAATAGTTTTCTTTAGATCGGAATGGTGATTCATCAAAAACTAAAATCACTCAGACTAAAACCATTAGAAACGAAGTTATCGATACTGACGTGAAAATAGAATTATTTGGACCGAATTAGAGCTGACACCAGAAAGCTTGGTGTGGGGTGTAGGTGGATGTGGGTGTGTGGTGTGTGGGTGTGGTTGTCGGTGTGGGTGTGCGTGGGTGTGGGTGTGTGGGTATGGGTCCTCTTTTTACCCACACACATCGACCCACACCCACCCACACCCACATCCACACAAACATCCTAGATGCGTACGACTATTAGTTCTCATAGATCGTTTGTGATTTAGAGATGCTCAGGAATAGTTTATGAATATTCGTCGAGTCTTCTTTTTCTAATTGTTGTTTGTTTTGCTTTTAGGTACTGCTGTTCAGCAATTGCTGTCGATTCATGCTGCTGTGATTATCGAATTGAATTTTTTTGGATCTAGGTGAGTTCTTTATTTGTTTTGATCAGGTTAGTATTACGTAGCTCATGTAGGAAATTATTTCCTTGCATATAAAATCTTCAACGCATTGAATTGAGAATGACTTTTTTGCACCTTGTTGAGGATTTTTGAACGTTATTGTTAGGATTGTCCTCAGTAGGTAGTTCTATTCTCTTAATTACTTATGCATTTTTCATTTAGGTTTTATTGCACACCGTCTGCAAAACAAATCCATGCTTTATTAAGTTGAAGTACTTTTGCTGTTGGGACCGATTTCAAAAACATGGTGAATGTTAGATGTCAATTAAAGTGAGTGAAGTTTTCGTGCCACTCTCGGACTGATGAAATGAGTAGATCGAAAATAGGATAAGCGGGTAGCGCTGATTCAGGCGAGTGGTGATTGCAATGCTATTTAAAATTCAACGGTTTAATGATTTTCAAGATTTTATAAAAGCTTAGATGAGTACTGTAAGGTCATGGAAAAGGCCATATAAGAATCTTACTGTACAATTTCACCAGATTTACTGGTTTCCAGTTTGGAACAGTTAATCATAGAATATATCATAAAATCGTCATGGACTTCTGTGCTCTAATAGACGATCGTTCAGTAAGTTCTGATGGGATCGTCAAGAAATCCCTCAAGATTTCCTAGTCAGATATATTAACCGCCAGGATCGTGGAGAATTCATTCCCAGTAGCTGATTAGCATTATTGCCTTAATTGGCTTATGTTTTTTGTCCTTTTATCATTTTCTTTGTCTTCGAGCAGCTGATTCTAGAAATCGATTCATATAATTCCTTTCAATCTACTTTGATTTCGTTATTTGGTTTTTTCTTGCTGGATTGAGATTAACCAATAGAACAATCTTCAGCTTTCCTGCTTTCGCTCCTTTATTCACTAGTTAAGATCCGATTGTTTAGATTGCCCAGTGAGAGTCCCATTGATTATAAAGCTCGAAACGTAGAGTTAACACCAGATAAGTGTTTCTTTCAGCATTCCGTAAGCCTCACAAGTGTGTGATTCACATAACGATGAAAATTATTAATTATTTTCACATGTCTTTCATACGAGTGAGTTTATCACTGATGCTGACGAGAGATCCACTATTGAATCATTCATCAACCAGTTGAAACAGTTGATGCTACGCTTAAATCTCTCCATATACCTCACCAGAAACCTTAAAGACGATAATTCAGATCAATAATCACATTGTTATATCTTATCATAAATTCTACGGACAGTTGATGAGGCCAATAATCCCTTTCATAAACCTTATCATAAACCCTATTAACCGTTGATGAACACTTCCAAATATCGATTTTAAATGTTGGTCGCGGATATACTATTTTCATCAACCATTTTTAGAAAGGGTTTTGGAGACTAAATTAGCAGGTTAATGATTATCAAGAACCCTTACGAGGAGTTTATGAAAGTGCAACGTATAAGGAACCCTTTAAGAGTTTATTGATCTTATCAACCCTTTCATAAATCCTTTAAACGTTTATTATTCTGCGGATTTTTTTTATAGTGTACAGTATCTATGAGTACCATATATATTCGTATAGAATTACAACCAGTATATAGGCCCTCGGCACTTGAAAACTCAAGGAAAACTTGACTTCCTATATACCATTCTATGCTCCTTAAAGTTCTCTACAAAACCATGTATAGGATGTTCTGGTTCTAAGTAGGTCACCAAATCCGGTAGGGTCCTTTTCATGCTTTGATTTATGCAAATAAGTTGGCTAACAAGAACAAGAGTTCTGAATTAAGATGAGAGAGCGAAGTAAAATAACATTTTTTCAGAAGAAAATATCAAAAGTTCTTTAAGAAAAGATTCTCAATCGATCGTTTGCTCTGTATGGAATAGTTATGTCAATTGCGGATAGGTCGCATTAATACCAAAAGTAGCAGCCATGTTACCCATCGCAATTACCATGAAGAATTTTTGTAATAGTACAGCTTCTTCCATGGTTAAAATGTGCGATACTTCTTGTATTGATTCTTTCGTTTCTTCCCAGATACCACCCAAAATACTTTTCGATTCCCGGATCAATAACAAATCAGGTGCCAATTGCCAATTAGCATCAATATCAACAATAAAGAATGAAGCAGTATTTTTTACACTATCGCCATTTTTGAACAATGTTAAAGAACTATAATTACCGTCCATTGCAGGTGAATAAAGATATTCAATACTATCCCAAGTAAAATCATCGGAATAAGTTAAACCAAGCATAAAACTACCTTTGGATGGCAAATTGTAATCGATTATGATTGCATTGATAAATTCAGGTACTTTATCAGCTGGTATATCGATCGCCTTTAAAATCGTTGATTTCTGATGGAAATATGTAAAACCTAATCGAGTAATTCTTGTAATAGTGGTAGAACTACTTGTTTTGAATGCACTTACAACATCTTTCCAAGCTTTAGTAACGGCTGAAACAGCTTGAGCTAAGGCAATAATTTTATCAACAAACCGTGGTTCGTGACCATTAATGCCATTGCTGTTTGTTTCTGGTGAAATTATTTTCGGGTTAAAGTAAGACAGCATTCGATGTTTTTGTGGAACCAATACACTAGCACCGATGAAACGTAAAATATTTAATGCAATGTTTGTCGTCTTTAGTTTCCATGGTGTAATCAATGTTGATAGATGTTCATTCAAAAATTCGCCACTATCTCCCAAAGTTGATGTGCGCGCAATTTTCATTTGTTCATTATTGCCAGCATTGTTGTTTGTATTATTGTACAGTAGTGTTTCGATTAACGATCGTGAAGTAATACTTAAGTATAGAAAATTCATTGTATACGTTAAATTATCAAGATTTTGACCAAGTATCCAAATGTATTTGATAACTGTATCTTTGTTTTTATCGTCAGTTGTAGATGTATATAAGTTTTCGTATGAGAACCGTGATGATTGTAATTGTTGTAAAAATTGTGGATTGGAAGAAATGTCATCGAAACCATACTCTGTGGCTAATGCTGTTAATAATGTGGCAACATTTTGACGTTCAACTTTTGCCAATTTCAATGCTTGACTTGAGAGTTTCAATAATGTGATGTTTGATTGTAATGCTGTTAAAATTGAATCATTGTATGGTGTCAACACTTCAGCTTTCATAGCATTGTTTGACAAATATTTTTCGACAGCTTCAGTTAAACTGTTACTACTATTATTATCATTATCATTAAGTGACAAAGAACGCTTTGCTATGCTGCTCAATGATCGTTCATTGAACCAAATGAATTGATCGGCTGTCATTTTTTGCTTGATTATGTTCAATTCTTCCGGTGTATTACCTCGTTCAACATAATTTGCATTATCCCTTTTACAACAACATTCCCAAAAATATACACAGTCACCGCATCGAAAACATCTGTCTGTATAATATACTGTATATACCTTTCTGATTTCCGCCTTTGTATTAATTGTAACATACGTAGCTGCCACTGGTAAATTTGAATTAGTTGGCGAAGGCATCTTTTTTGCAACAATTAATAATGTTGTTAACAAGGCGCCTGATTGGATATTAAACGTAAAGGCTTGAGCTATGTACGATCCTTCCGTTGCAGCTGCTATTAATATTTTAACATTATTAACTGCTTTAACACGAAATTCTTCTGGAATAAACCAACTTGCCATTACGGTAGCAAGTGTAGAAATTCCAACTTCAGCTTGTCCAATTGAGCCGTCTGTTACTGGTGTATCCATAAAATCGGCCCAATTAGCTGAAATGAATAAGAAACAGTTACAATATATAATCAATGTAGAATAAAATCTTACCAGGCGATGATACATTCAATACTTGTGCCACTTGTTTCATTGGAGTAGATGTATCAAGAGATTTTGCACTAAGTTGTATAATAGGTGACGCATAAAATGCGGTGCACACCGTCATCAAATGCAACATCAACAAGACAATGGAAGTTTTACTCATATTTAATCTGAAAAATATAAAATATTTGTGAATCAAGTTCATTTGATATCCATTTTTACCCTCTATCCTAAATGCTTCAATAAAACAAATGTTTTCTTGTCAGGATAATGAATTTTCAAGGAAATTTGATTTTTTTAGAAGCATGAAGTCTATACTCAGATCGATGATTCCAGCCACCGGATCCGGCAGGATCCTGCAGGAAACGGTCAATTTTCTGCGAATTTCTATCGTTTCTCTGCTAGAAGGCGCAGAAACCCGCCGGAAATATACCAGAAACATGGAAGCAGTATTCCGGCCAGAAAGTAACCGTACCGGAAACTGTCCCATTCCGAAACTTTCCCATCATCGGAAATCCAAAGGAAATAACCTCTATCCTGATGAAAAATTGTTGGAACGCCTTCGTATCCGTCAGGAAATCACCGAAAAGCACACGTGTCCGGAAGACAACTACCCTCGCCCCCTCCCCAGAGTGAAGGGCAAATAAGTGATTTTTCAGGATTTTTGAGACTATTTTCATTAATAGGATTTGAACTCGATATATTCCGTGTTCAATTGAGTAATGCAGTTCAGAGACTGCCTTCTTTTATAGAGTTCCAAATCGAGTTACTATATAGTGAATCGGTTAAATGTAGGGATGGGCTAAACCCAAATCGTGTCAAATCCAAATATCAGATTTGTCTGGATTTAGATAAGGGTTTGAAGGAATTTGAGTGCTTTGGGTTGGATATAACTCGATCGGTTGTGGATTTGATTAGTAAAATTCCGTCAATGGGTATCAGGATGGTGGAATCCGAATACACTATTAGTTTCCCGAAATTTTGTACTTCTTTTTTCACTAAAAAAAGAGTTTTTGGAGAATAGAACCATTTTTTTGTATTGTTTGACGGATGTGCTCGGCGTCGGAGAATAGGAGTATTACTAGTTCCTCGGAATTTTCCACTAGATTTGTCGAAGACCTCTCCCACAACAGTCTCTTATGAGTGAGAAGTCAAGCATAACATTTTGAGAAGCTCAAAGCAGATTCGCATTCTCCGATTCGGAGTACCTTCGGTCAAACCTTAAAAAAAAAATTGTTAGTCTCCCGAAAAACTCTTCCGTTGGTGAAAAATTAAGTATAAAGTTTCGTGAAACTGACAACGGATTCGGATATCTCTAACCGGATTACGTTCGGTAGAAGTTTACTAGTCAAGCCCAGATCAAAGCGCGTGAAATTCAAGTGGAATCTTAGTCGAATACGGTCAAAGCCAAATGGGAATCCAGTCAAGTCCAAAAGAAAGAATTGGGTTTGAATTTGACTATGATTCGATTTCATGCAAAGCTAGTTAAATGGTGCACTTAGGATTTTATTGGAAATTCTGACTTGTGAAGGGAGAACATTCTCTTCCTTGAGGAGGCTTTCAGGTCTTCATTGTTAAGGTTTTTTGCGAGCGGATAGATTTAAGCTAGATCAGATTTTTTTTCCGTTTAGATTAAAATGTGATTTGAAGTCTCACACCCTAAATTTTTACCTGTGCAGGTGGGTAAAGGTAAGTATAGGTGTGGTCATGCACGTAACAGAGTAATTAGGTTCTGTAATTACTTAATAACTTACATCCGGCCTTATATCAATAACTTAAGGATTTTTAGGAGATTTCTAATCCGACTTACTCGTGCTTGTGTTGCGACGCAAACGAACTAATCTGCAGGGTGATAGCCATATATATAGGGTGGAGGTCGTTCGTAAGTGAATAGTCCGTCCGCCGTGTCTGACTCATCAAGAGCTATCCAGGGAGGATACTTATAGGTCTTCGAGGGATATCCAGGGGGTACTTATAGGTCTTCAAGGGCTATTCAGGAAGGTACTTATGACTCATCAATGCCTATTCAGGAAAGGTAATTATGTCTTCAAGAACTATCCAGGGAGATACCTATGACTCTTCATAGGCTACTCAGGAAGAAAACTTATAAGTCTTCAAGGACTATCCAGAGGACCCATTACTTCTCCAGTGCGATCGAGCATGGGTGCTCAACGAAGAACCGATTTTGAACGGGAATTAATGGAGAAAAAACTATATAGCTTCATTTATCTCCTGATATTTTGGAAAAAAGTTATCAGGGTATGGTAAGACGGTTAAAATATTGTGTTAACGAATCCCTTTATAGTCAGCATTAATTTCAGGTTTTTTATTTAACACTTCGGTTGAAAATGGAGAATTAAGTGATTAAAATTAAGTAAGTACCATTGAATTTGATTTATTGTGGGTGGTGGGTGGGTGTGTGGGTGTGGGTGTGGGTGTCGTTGTGAGTGTGGTCGGATATCACAATTACACCCACGCCACCCACACCTACACTCACACCCTAGTAAAACTAGATTTGCTGATTTCTATGGCATGTATCGTCGATATATTATTATTAGGGGACACGAAGCTATAGCTTGAAGATGTATCTGACAATACAAATAAGTTTTCTACTATAATGTGTTTAAATGAATCAAATTGTTAGATAAATAATTGGAAACGCGAACATTTTCGAAATGATAAAAACTCAGAGCATGCGTTTCGGCTATAAAATTCGGGAGTGTTGGCTTAGCATTAGTATTAGGAAAATACTAACACTTTTATATTAGAATTAAGAAAAAGCTTAATGTTTTTTCTATTGGTGTTAAGAAACTAATTAAATACTTTGGTATTAGCATTAAATGAAAATTAACAACAAATTTTCATTATTGAATACATTTTTCGTGAGCACTAGTATTAACTGGTGATATTTTTAATACTAATACTAATACATAACTAATGCCAAGGTGTTAATTAACTCTTTTAATACTAACACAACAGTATTCAGATATTTTTTTTCAATTCTAATGCAGAAGCATTTTAAGAAAGTATTAAATTAATGCAATGCTAATTAAAGCTCAGCCAGTACCCCTGACAAAAACTGTTATAAATTTGATGTATTCATTTATTTGACATTTTTTAAAAAGTAATTATTTTAAAAGCTCTGACAATATATCATAAATTCATAAATGTCAGAGTTTGTGAGTTCCACACTTTGGCCCCGGAAGGGACCGCACTGACATGCTTTTTCTTGTAGAAAGGCTTTTCAAAATGTCTTTCTTCTGTGAAGTTCGGATAGAGTCTGTCAAGCTAGATAAATCCGTTGACGCAAGCTATGCATTGACTAAATTAGGTATCAGAAAGGCTTAGCGCCGCTATCGTCAGAACACAGCGTGCAACTGTTAGGGCTATATGAGAGAAAAATCCTATGGATTCAAATTTGTCCGCAACACTGCGCACTTCGTCCTTACAATCGCGGTGAAAAATCTTTCTGAAATCTGATTGCTCGAAATTTATGAAGCAGCGATTAAGACGTGAAGGTACTGTTTCTCAGCTTCAGGATTATTAAAACATAGTGTTGGTCGCGTCGATGTGGTTGCAGCAGGGAATCAGTTCTTTTCTGGAAAAACAAAAAAGGAATTACACAGTAGTTTCTATCGGTGAACTATTTAATCACTTACTATTTATCAAATAGGTTCTAAGTAAAAAAATTAATTTTAATATTGATGATTAAGTGATCACTAACATTTAATTTTTAGTGGGGTCATGACTTTAAGCTTAATGTGAAACTAATGTGAACGGTGTACCCCTACTTTCAATCTCCAGTTGGATTGATCATATTCGTTATCTCGAATATTATATGTAGAGAAGAACTGTTAACGCTCAGATGAGCAGCTCATGAACCTGAGCTCTACACTGCTAATATGAACCCATCCCCTAACTAGCCCCTGAGAAGTTATCAGTTTCCCTGGATAGACCCTGTAGAAATATAGGTATCCTCCTGTACAGACCTTGAAGAGTCATAGGTACCTCCCTTGGCAGGTCTTAATAAGTATTAAGTATCCCGTGGGTGCTCCTTGAAGACCTCTAAGTACCCTTCCTGGATAGTCCTTGAATAGTTATAAGCATCTTTCTGAATAGGTCTTGATGAGTCATAGGTATCCTCTGGGTAGCTCTTGAAGACCTATGAGTATCTTCCCTAGATAGCCGTGAAAAGTGAGAAATAGCAACCCATAATTTACTACGGTGGGAAAGAACAGACCGCGAATCGCATTCCGTCTTCAAATTCAGTTGCCGGATCGAAGCTCTTCAACCGACTTGAAAACGGCCGGATCTGTGCTTCGTCACCGGAGCGAAAACGGCAGGATATGGCTCGTATCCTGCTGTCATGATAAGTTACCGGAACTGTGTCAGAAACGGCAACCGTATTCAGAGATTGCTTCCGAATTCAGTAATAGGCTGGGACTAGACCAGAAACGGAGACAGAAACCGGTGCGGGAATCCTGCTTTCGGAATTTCTCGGAAATCCATCGAATCCGACCGTTTCCTGCCGTATATCTTTGACCTGGGTAAATGAGCAAATTATCAAGTTAAAATTTCTTCAAATGGTTTTCTTTGAATTACTTTGTGCTAGGTCGAAAACTCAATAAAGCAATAAAAACTTGGACCCAAAGGCCCGTGGAGACAAACTCTTTCAGGTTTATTCATAGCTCATTGAGATCTACTGAGTCTTGATGATGTTTCCTTGTAAGTAATTCTAAGGTTGTCTTCAAATAGGAATAGATCAGTGCCAAGCAATCAATGCATTTCTTTGCGCTTGTGCCAGGATTCTGTTTATCTTGTTTTGCTCTAATAAGCGATTTATTCTTCATTTGCACAATTCAGATCTGTAGGTAATGTCTCCATAAAAGAATATATACAAACTGCAATTCAGAAACAATAAAATCCATTGTTGTGATAAAAATCATCTTTACATTATCTCACGATGGAACTTCCCGAGATAATCAATCGGTTATGAGCTGAGACTATATTCAAGTGGCAAAATCTAGTAAGTAGGTAAATACTCAAGAGTGATTCGATTTTCTGGGTCTTTGATACTGACATGTTCGGATTCTAGTTGATTTTCCAGCGGATTTCGGTATTTCA